CATCGGTCGGAACTTCCCTTCCGCCTATTTCTCGATTTGTTATACATACGAAACCTCGTTCCAACCACGAGGACTATCGCGATACCAGAAAGTAGCGGAACCTTCTTTACTCGTTCAACCAAGCGGAATCTCGTCAATACCTTCACCGCCTTTATTCATCGGCATCAATGCATGCTTCATACGTAGCGAAGCTTTTGCAAAAGGTATTCAAGACGCCGAATGTACCGTAAAATATCGAGGAATCAAAAAAACATCACCAATCACCTCGCGTCGTGTATTTTACTTTTTAGTCATTTTTAAAAGTATGTTGACTCTAAGAAAGTTGAGATAAAATTTGTAATTTTCACGGAATTTCGCCGCTGTGTCCCAACATCTCATTCATCTTTTTCAGTCATACGGAAGATTGCGTGAGTTTTTGAAGAATGAAGCTGTCCTCTCCCTCTCGAAAGAGCACGGAAACTAGTTCCCGGTATTTGTTTGGCGAAATGGGGCACATCTATAGGTTATTATTTGTCATTTAATGCCCTTACGTCATCCAGATATTGTTTTGTGCACGCGGTAAACAATATCTAACATTTTTTCTCGTGAATCAAGAGAATTTATTTCTGCCAAAATGCGCAAAGATATCCGTTTTATTGATTTAATCTAACTTATCTCTTTTACAGAAATATGAACTGTAGCGCTTTTTATGGAAAGCTCCATGTTTTGCGGTGTATCAAATTGCAACTATAACAATGCATTCGTAGGATGATGAAAATTATATAACGCAGAGCGCGAGGTAGGGGGAGGAGTAACTCATTTGGAATATCGACTTTCCATCACCATTACGTGGCGTATCGGTTCGTTTCTTCTTTTTCGTTAATAATTCATTTTTTCGCAACTTAGTTGCAGAACGGCCGACTATTAATCTTGTCACTGCGGTGATCCCTGAAATTGAATTTCCGCAGTGACAGATATTCGCTGAGGATTGCGAGATGGCCATGTAGAACAGCCGTAGGGTTCTGCCTCGAAACGTGCATTCCCATTTTCTTCCTTTTTTTTGTATATACAGGATTTTATAACGATCGCTCCATTTGTCGTACAGACCGACTGTTTCATCGAGTGTCTCTTTGACGTTACTCGATAGGCACAGGTTGCCAATCTGCGGCGAGAACGCGCTGTTCTTTGGTTTAATTCGTATAAATAATAGAAAACATAATAATCCATAATTGTAAGATAATAACTCGCTCGTTCTACGGGAGAATCCATCGAAGCGCGATGATATTTTTTCGAGACTGTAAATGAAAATCTTTGCCGATAAAAGTTTGCGCAGTTATCGCGTATTCGTTGTATACGTGTATGGAAACTGGTACGTATTCTCACTGGCGAGAAGTGGGCCGTGCACCAGCTGTCGTTGAGCCTCGTTACCGTTCCCGTCACGTCAGTGGTGTGTGTTGCCGCGATAAATCTGGCATGCCCGAATCTCGCGCGTTATTACTTTGCGCTTTACTCGGCCCCGGCTTACGAATGGCTACCAAGTCAGCTGGTATATTTCATCGAAGCTTTATCCGTTTCTTTGACCGTTACGCGTCTTTTATTATCATAATCGTATATCAAGACTTTTTTCTTTATTGCCAAATAAAAAAGCTATAAAATCCACTTATTGTTAGCGTAAAATACAAAAGAGATGTATTTACGCGCACGCGTAAAGTAAAGATTGGAATATTTACGAGAGAAAAGGAAAACGGGCGACTTGTTCTTTCAAGGAAATTATAATATTGTTTCCGCGTTACTTTCCAACGTGTTCGCGATCGCCAAGCGATGTCTCTCAGGGTGACAAAGGATAGAGTTGAAGTTGGCATCGAAATTACTACTCGGAAGCCAGATAAAGTTTGCCGCAACTTAGATAACAACATGAGGTCATCAAACAATCGGTGTAGCAGCCCGCAATGAAACCGCACTATTGCCAATTGATCGGATCGGCCCTGGTTTCGGGTCTCGTAGTTTCCACTCGATAGGATCGATAAGTCCGAAAGCAGTCGAGCGGATGAGGTTAAGAAGTATAGTCCGCGGAGATCAATTGAAAGGTATTGACCTTGCGTTCCAGGTGTTACCCTGGATAAAGAATTACGTCGATTTATATCGTGAGTTTTGGGCACCTCCGCCCCTCGGCATGTTGCGAAACTTTCGCCGTAACGTTAAGCCGCTTTACGAGATTACACCGCCGGCAATTTACATACGATTGAGTTACGGTGCTTGCGGTGCCCGGCGTTTCTAGAAAAGGCAGTTAAAAGTATACCAGTGTCGCCTGGCGCGTTTGCACGTTATCCGGAAATCGGAGAGGGGCCATTTCCACAAGGTGTACGATTTATAAGCTCGAAATAAGGCTACCTTTCCAACAAACCGTTTTCGCCGATCGCACATTCGGGCGAGAATGCGGCTTATGTAAATGCAGTTAACACCTTGTTTTACTTGCTACGCCCGTGGTACCTGAATCGAACCTACACATTTCGCACGTAGAGCGCGAATATAATCCGGTGGAAATTTATAATCTCGAGACGATTATATCCGTTATCTGTTTCGCCGTGCGAATTTCGCTCGCGAAACGCGAAACGGCAAGTTAAAAAGGGGGGAATGTGTAGAAAGACGAGAAATTGGGCATTTACATATATTAATTGAATGCCTAATCGAGAGTAAGATGCCCGAGCTGAATTTCCGGATTGCACGAAAAATGGCGCGTGAGCGCTTCACCCGCCTCGGAGCTCGGAAAGATAAACTCGGAAAAGTTTGTAATTGCACGACGATTACAACTTAAATATACGCTTTGGCGCGGCCAGAATTCGCAAGTAGGGATACTTGCTCGCAATGCCGGACCTTTAATGAATATTACTCTTAGATCGGTGTACTCGCTTGTGTAACACGAGTACGCGAGCAAATCCGACGAGATATAGACTGGATCCAAGTTTTGCCGCTTTCCGCGAGCCGTATTATTAAACTTCCGGTAAGCCGAAAGCGAGCATATTCTAGCTTCGGTCTAAGATCGTAATAGCGAACTTTTGCCCTGCAGCCACAACGGGATTTCTCCAGCTATTCCTACGGAAACTGAGCAAAATTATTCTCCGGCGCGTGACGACCGAATTGATTAGATCTAAACTTGCTTCCACGAGTACAACGTGATATCCGAAGCGCTCGGACGTGACGACAGAACGTTACGTAGTAGCGAACGAGGGTGAGAAATTAACGTATCGCTCGTGTTCCAGTTAACAACGGAATTTTCAGCAATTCCACTCGATGAACCCTAGCGTTGCTAGACGTTGACAAGTTAAAACCATCGAAATATTTCCAGTGCACGCGCGCGACCGACAGACGCGCGTACGCGCGTATGCGCGTGCGAATACGTGCGTGCGCGGAACAGGGACGGCCGGAGAAAAAGAGAGGCGGAGAGAATCGTTTGTTCCGTGCTGTTAACCGCATGTGTGATGCACACGTATCTACGTAACGGGCTCAATGATGCCGACCGAAGCAATGAATATCGTGTGCTCCGCACGCTCGACCAAATTAAATGTGACATACTCGCCGGATAACGTTGGTCAGTTATACGACGCGTATAACCAACCTCGTTATTCTTCTCTTTCGCCGTTAGAAAAATCCCGCTTGCCAATCTCTCGCACGAATGCGGAGCGCGTTAATCATCTTCGTCCGCTTACGGTAATCCAAGTTACATACGCGATTATCAAACAGCCCGATAAGCCACTCGATTCGCCTCATTTACGTATCGTCGATTGTCACCATTATTAGACTTTGGCATGGGAAAACATTTTGCCCCGTATCAATGTCTGATTTATGAGCCAGGTTCCAAGCTGCCTACTAAAGCAATGAATACCAGTCGCACCAAACGATCCATCAAGCTGAATATAATTCAGCGTCTGCATTTGACGTCATACGACGTAGTACATTACGTATAACTAAACGCTTTTTTGTAGACATTTCGCTCATGCGTCGCTTCTGCCCACCCATGCGAGGCAAATGCAAATATACGTGTACAACACGGGGTAACGTTACAGCTGCGAGCTATAACATACGGTATTACCTCGAATAGCGTCAGCGCTCGCGTATGGATTTTCACAATCGCTCACTTACGACTCCGCTACGCGATAAGGTGCGCGAGCTCGATATCACGAGTTTTAACGTAATACGTTGTTGCCACTAATCAAACGGCGTTAAACTCGATACGGCTCGCCTCACGCGTAAATAACAAAAAAACCTCCGTAATAGGCGATGCTTGTTACATTATAACAGTACCGCTACTTTGGTAACGATACCAGACGCCTTGTCATAAAAATGCGCCAATTATAAATCCGTATATAGCCTAATCATCGTTACATCTTCAAGTGTCACGCTCGAAAAGAACTGGTTAAAGAGCAGATTGGATAATAGCGGCTCGCACGTTATGCGGTTCTCTCTCTCTTGGCGTAAACGCTTCGTGTCCTACACCTAAACAGGTACTCGATACTTGCATCTGTTATATAATTATATGTCTATGAGTGTTATCAAATAATACCATATGCACACGAGAGTAATATACACGAGAGAACGAGGCGGGACGCATGTATTCCTGCGATTCGTGACTTGGCCAGTAGAGAACTGGCTAGCTGGCCGAAGCCCGGCGTGGCGGCTCGTGGTAACAGGGGCATTGTTTTTGTCGGACACGTTGCCTGGATACTAATGCGTTCGGGCACCTAACGTCCGGCTATACGTTAAGCCCGATGCGCCACGTAAATGCGGCTTACGTTCGCACGATAACGGATCCTTAAACCGACGTATGCAATATCGGTTCGCGTTAACAGTAATCCGTTTCGCTCAAACGTGTCGGGGAAGGAATCGCCAAACCGGAATAATAAAATCTAGCCCCCTTTGGCGCGCGAATCCGCGAGATTTCACAGCCGGTAACACGGCGAATAACGCCTATCCGCAATATACGCTCGCCGACATCGCTGTTTTAGAAATAGATCGATATTCACCTGGATTTACGGCGTGGCAGTGGTTGAGGAGCGGCAGCCAACAGAGTAGCAGCACTGCTCTCTGCATCTGAAATCAGAATTAACGGCTGAAATATTTATTGACGCGTACTGCTTCCAACGAATATTACAGCAGCCCCCATGAAAACTTGAAAAAGATCTGACCGTAATAAAAATTATAATTACATTCCCTTTCGATTGCGAACGCTTTGATGAATTTCAAATCGATTCTTCTTTAATGAAAGCTTAATAACGGTCCTAATTACGAAGGTACTTTTCATCGAAAATTTAAGTATTCCGGTCCTTCTGCCAATTCAGTTCCAACGGTCTAAATAGCTAACGAATACGCTCGCTACTTTAATAAATGCCAATTCTGATTGACAGGACATGAAATCTTTCTTCAAAATTCCTAAGATTCCGCTTGAGAATAAACGACGGTTTCGATTCTTTAAATTAAATCAGTTTATCGAGCACACATATCACTTAACCGTATGAAAGAGCTCGGCATCCATCCTCTGTGACTCGATAAACATTATACCTATTCAAACAGACCTGCTTTAAATAATCCGCGGCTAATAGTACATAATACATTCCACTATTCATATCAGGAATAATTAAATGTGTAATGTTAATATTTATCAACTTATGTACGCGCGTTCGCTCGCGCGAGGCTGTAATGGAAAATAATCTGCGCGGTTTAACTTGATTAACGTGACGCTTATTACGCCCGAGCAAGTATATCGCAGGTACGAGAAACGCATATCCCGTGTGTGAGAAACAGGAAGCTTTGCACATGGTGAATATATGGGGAGTAAGGCAATCCTCTACTGTCCATTGTGCCGATAACAAATGAACTCAGCGTGTGCATACGCCGTCGTGCATGCGCATCAGCATGCACTCGCCATGAGTTCGCACGCACGAACGCTCGATACAAAGGCAACCGTGCAAGAAGCGTCGTGCCCAATTTTTCCGAGGATGCAGTTCGCCTCTTTGCTTCAGCTAACTCTCTGATACGTCCAATGCGTAAAAAGACCGACGTTCGCGATAATACTATGTACTCGATTTGCCGACTCAGTTCCGATATCAGCCGCGTGGAACTTTCAAATTGCAGCTCCTACGAATTACCAATGATAAATGCTGTCACTATTTTGCACTTTTTTCTTTCTTATTCGTATTGTAGAAAAACGCCAAGTATCATTTTCTAATTATTATTTTTCTTTCGCGCCATTTCCATGTCAAAAACCTACCAGTGCCATAAATTTTAATATCTTTTTTTCTCGCGGATCGGACATATTGCATACACAACGCAAATACGCAGTAGCGAATACGCAAAACGAATAAAGTTAATAAAGTGATTGAAAAAAACGTATATTGACATGTAAATGAGAAATTCAGGCTCGTACGGTACAAAATATGGTCGATACCTGTCATTTGTACTCGTGATTCGAATATCATTATGCATTTTGAAGCCCACAATACGGCACCGATCTTTATGTCGATATGCAAATGAAAAGTGTCAAATGTGCCGCTTGGACCAGTTTATGTACATATCGCGGCTCAACAATACATGTCAAGTACAATATAAACAAATAGTCTTTAAAATCATGCTTTTCGCTGTGTAATTGAAATATATGCAAGATACAATAATTCAATTAGATACGACTGTTGTGAATAAGTTTGCTGACGTAACAAATGATGACTCGATATCGATAAGTGGTATTAATCTCATTTTGCGAGAGATTCGAAATATAGGCGCAAAAGGTCGCTTTGGGCCGAAAGGTCGTACGGGTCAAAAGTGCACCGGGCATTGTATTCACCGGACAACCAGGTTCATTCATCGGGCAGAGTGAAATTGCCGATCAAATCTTAAATTGATAAACTTTCTTAGTCCTCTCACGACTGCTTTACGTTTAAATATATTTACAATGCGGTTGTTTACTTCGAATTAAACTCTCACAAAATTTTTCTACAATCAATGATTTTGATTAATAATTTTTATAATTTTGTCAATTCTCTTTTAACTAGAAAATCTAGGACATACGCCGATAAATCGCGTTATCGTTCTACTAGAAATTAAGACCACCCGGCACACGTTTTGTAAGCTAGCGCACTACCAAGATGTAATAACATGCACATACGTGCACGTGAGGCGTCAATTCGATATTTGCTTCAACGATGACGTCGCTACTTGCTAAAAATCGTCCAAGAAGCAAGCTGTTCTCATCGTACCATTAAAAATATCGAAATTGTTACATCGAATCGGCGGTCTCGTTCCACTTTGATAAGAGCGATCTTTTTTCCGTCCAACCACGTATAAGTCCTCTTTGTAAGAATTTAATCAAGATATCTCACAAAGACATGATCGATATAACGAATCGGTTATACGCTAACTTATCGTTATTCATTTTCTCCTGACTTCTGTACGAGATAAATAAGAAACATCCTCTCTCTTCGAGATACAATCGAAAGATATAATATTTCTCTGCATATTCTTTTTAGAATCTTGGAAATAAATTTAAAATATATGAAAATGGATAGAGATTGAATAGGATAGATATCACTTTTCTTTCTATATAATATACGGAGAGACTGATGGAACTAAAGAAGATATCCGCGGACGGCATCCCCGAATACGCAATAACTCACACGGCTGACAAACAAGTGTCAAGAAATCACTCCGAATTGCTATCTTGTGCATCAACTTTCAGAGTTATACTATGTATGTAGCTGCTAGAAACTGTTTTCGTTGACACATTGCGCGGCCTACCCTGTCAGAACTGGTACCCTCATATAACTCGTCGCGTACAGGAACGTTAGATGGGATCAGCTTTTCATGAACACAGAGTTTCGTGCCGGGCAAAACGGGAAATGATATCACGTGTCAAGTAAGCAGAAATATTGGTATCTCGTTTTCTTGCACATTCTACAGTGGACGTGTGCCAATAAACATATCGAGTCGTTCCAGTTCACGAAGAAAAAAGAGCCGATCTGAAACTTGGCATGCCATTTTCAAATAGAGATAACCGTATTTCATGTTACGTTTCCATATTTTATACAATAATGAGCGCGTTAGCAAACGAGTTGGGAACTTTTACTGATTTGCTAGCAAGGCTAGAGCACAAGTGTGATATCATAATTTCATTACGTATCTGTTTAACAAAGGTGATGATGACACTTGTCAGAGAAGTCTCGAAAATTTTGACTTTAGTACATGTTCACGTACAAGATCATAAATTATTAGTTTGTAATAATTGAAAAAAAAACGATGTTTCTTACTTCGCTTTTAAATGAAAGAAAGACGATGCAAATGATCACTGGTAGGTGCATACAGACTCAAAGTCAGCAAGTCGTTTGTAATAGTAATCGCGATTCCGTTTTCACGTTATCCGCATCGTCTTCGATGTAAGTAAATATCCGTGATATCGGTTGTGTCGCTCTTCGTCGCTAGTGGAATGTCACCCATGGAACGACGCGCAATACGCGTACAAAAGCCACATGCTTCGTCGGCAATGCGAAACCCGGGAAAGCTTTGAACTTGTTCGGAAATACGAATCTGTTGCGCGTGACATGGTTAAACAAGAACGAAGAGTTCAAAGAACATCAACACCGGAACTGTAGAATAGGGGCAGCAAACAGACTCTCGCGACGAATACAAGCACCAAAAATGTTTACTTTCTCTTAGGGGCTGATAACACCGAAGTTTCCAATTAAATTTGACAAATTTCGAGTTAGCGTGGGTCACGTTTTCTAGGCAATCGAGAAATTTGAATTTTGGCAAGTCTTACGAATTTTTCCGCTTGAAAGTTAAAATTGTGACTGCAAAAGAATTCTATTTCGTCATACATTATTTATAATTATTGTGCTTATCGCATGTAATAAATAATTGGGGATTAATTTATTCTGAATTAAAGAAAATGTTAAGAGAAACGTACTCGTATTTTTAATAATATTTCAATGTCCTAGGTGAAATGCGTGAATTACAGCGAAGCGTTAATACGATTCTCGACTGCTTTACACGTTCGCATTGCGGCTTCGCACGACGACGAATCATTCCTACACGAAGCAGCAATTTAAACAGACAGCTAGGTATGTACTACGTACGACGGATTGCACCCCGTAGACAGATGAGTCGCTAAAGTTTACCGCTCTTCCGCGCGAAAGTTCCTGTCCTACGGAAAGCTGGGCCAACATTCGCGTCCGTTCACAACCTGTCTGGCTCTCTACCACGACCTTGCGCGCACAAGAAATTCAGATAGCAGATTGCAATGGTGCAACGGAAGCATGGCAGTAGCATCCCTGCGGCCACCCAGCCGCAACAACGGGCTCACTAACGTAAAATAGTAGCAATGAAGCGAGAGAAACGCAAAGCGAGCGACAACTCCTCTACTTTTAAGCCCATAGGCTCGAAAAACTGTGACGCAGGATAGAATCATTTTGTCGCGGTTGAAAGTAAAAAATTAAATTTCGATAGAAAAACGCGAGTCTTGCGTAATGTCCTAACGTCAAGTTAAAATTAAGATACGTGTATAAATTCCATACACTGCGATTAGATTATACCGAGCAAAATTGTGCAAACGTAGAAAAGACGCAAATTATGAAACTTATTTGATGGGCCAAGAATTTAAAATATGTCTAGATATCTCAATAACTCACTGGACACATGTATTACGCTGATTTAGTATCCTACCATTATGAGTCGGTGACGGATGCGATTTCTCTGCTGTATATACACGGCTCCATTTCGGCACGAGCAAGCAATCATAAACTCTGCCGCGGCGATGCTAAATCATAAAGTAAGGAACGACAATGACTACCACCACCATCATTCGCAGTAGTCGCATGCGTCCACATGCGGATGGGCAAAACTTTGCTGTGGCTGACAGATATATACGCGCAGCGAGCGACAATTCTATTGCGATTGCTTCCTCAACATATGATTCCGTTAGACTCGTGCGTAGATTAAACACATAGCGATCGATCTTACTATTCCGAATGACAAAAAATTTTAACATCAGAAAATCGCGCGACGCATTGTAGAGTTGGCGAATAAAAAGTTATAACAACCAAATA